CAAGCAAATTGTTGGAATTCAAGCTGCTGGAAATTTTAGGCGGTCTTTAAGTGGAAGTGAGTCATCTTCAAAAGTCAGAACTTCACAGTATCATGTATATCGAGATGATGCAGATGATTCGGATTTTGAATTTGAGGTGGGATTCTGTTTTAAAACAGCTTCAGACTTAAGGGAGGCAGTGAGAAGGTACTCAAACAAGCAAGGGAGACCTATAAAGTTTAGAAAGAATTGTAGTGACAAAATTCAAGCCATTTGTGAGTGTGGATGGATTATTTATGCTGCTTTTATATCTAAAATTGGCAAAACCTTTCAGGTAAAGTCAATAAATAAAGAGCATTCATGTTTTAGAGCTCCAAGTTCTCACCATTGCACTTCCAATTTCTTGCAAATAAATATCAACACCACCTTAGGAGTAATCCCGAGTGGCCTGTTACTTCAATGCAAGAAATAATGCAAATCGAAAACCGAACATCCTTGTCTATTTGGAAAATGTACCGAGCAAAGAAGCATGCAGAAAAGTTAAACCATGGTACAGAGTTGGAACAATATGCTAGCTAGCTTGTGGCAATATTGTGAGGAGATCTATAGAACCAATCCCAGCACAACGATAAAAATCAAATGCAAGCATATTCCAAGTTCTCAAACAAGTACGTTCAAAAGAATTTATATATGTTGGGGGGCATTAAAGAAAGGGTTTAAGCCAGGATGTAGACCAATTATTGGTCTAGATGGGACACACCTAAAGACATCAAGAGGTGGAGTTCTATTATGCGCAGTTGGTAATGATGGAAATAACAACATGTACCGTACCCTATTGCATATGCCATGGTTTTGAAAGAAAATAGGAAATCATGGGAGTGGTTTGTGAGTCTTCTCATTGAAGACTTAAACATGAGTAATAGTTATGCATGGACCATTATTTCTGACAAGCAAAAGGGGTTGATTGGAGCAATAGAAGACTTGTTACCCCATTCCGAGCACATGTTTTGCTTAAGGCACATGTACAGTAATTTTAAGCAAAAACACAAGGGATTGCACTTGAAAGACTCTCTTTGGAGAGTCTGCTTCAGCGACTAGAATCGCGGATTTTAACAAGGAGATGGAGAAGTTGAAAGCATGTGATTCAACTGCTTATGATTGGGTGAGAGAGAGGCCTCCGATGAACTGGGCAAAGTCGCACTTTAGCACTTGGCCAAAGTGTGCCATGTTGCTAAACAATTTATGTGAAAGTTTCAACCATGTCATCTTAAAAGCACGAGATAAACCAATAATAACCATGTTGGAGATAATTATGGTGATTATGATGAAAAGGATTCATATTCAACGGGATAAAGTGTTGAAATGCAATGGAGAAATTTGTCCTCTTGTCCAGAAGATTTTAGAGAAGAATAAAAAGAAAGTGCAAGAGTATATTTTGGAGTGGAACGGACATGATAAATTTGAGGTTAAGGGATGGCTTGGTGATGAATGGACGGTTGATTTAACATCAAAAATTTGCAGTTGTCGAAAGTGGGACATCACGGGAATTCCTTGTGTTCATGCCACAGCTTGTATTTTTTATAGAAGGGAAAGTGTTGAGAATTATGTTGAACATTGGTACAGAAAAGATACCTTTTTGAAATCATATGCACACATGCTCAACCCTTTGAAAGGATCAAAAGAATGGCCTGCTTCTACAATCGCCCCATTAGTGCCATGGCATGAAAAACCAAAAAAAGTCGAAAGACTGCTGAAGCATGACAGAAGGAAGGAACCTGATGAAGTAAAGAAGAAAAAAATGAAATACTTGTGCTCTAAATGTGGAAAATTGGGACGTAACAAAAAAAGATGTAAAGAAATCTCTATGGAGCATCAAAGTGCAGGTTGTGCTGCTCAATCAAAGAGATCAAAATTGTCGATACGAATAATGCTCATATATTTTACTTTCCTTTATATGTTTCTAGTATATAATGAATATTTTTATTAATAAACATGGCATTGGCAGGTGAGAAGGAATAATGAAAATATAAACTCTGTTACTACAATTTCTAAAAATTTACCACAGGTAAATAAACTGATTTTTATTCAAGTACGTCGTATATTTGTTCTTAACATTATCCCCATTAATGTCAATGTTATATGCAGGGATCATCATCTGGTCATGTACCACAAAGTGTTGGAGATTCTACAATAACAAGATTATGCGATTGATGGAAAATAATTATTTTGAAGCCTCTTGTAGTTCGTGGCTATAGCTTTCATATATTTTTTTCTCAAACCGTGTACTAAATCATTAATTTTGAACTGGGATATTGAATTTCATCTTGCTTGTCGGATCTTTATGGATATTGAATTTTATTTTGTCTGTAGCTTGTTTATTTATGGATTTTGAATTATCTTGCTTGTGAGGTGTTTATAAATATTAAATTATATTTGTGCAGGGTGTTGATATTGAGTTATGTTCTTATAGGGTATTTATTGATTTTGAAATCTCGATCTTCTAATGTGATTATGTATATTTATTTTTACTTTTATTCATAGGGGCTCCATTTTTACAATTAAAAGAAATAGCTAAAAAGATTTTAGGATTTTTTATGAAAAGGACAAAAAATAAAAATGGTGGAACAGTGATTAAAAATTGGGGAAAGATAATAGATAATAAAAGAATTACGAATTTGCCCATTTTCCTGGTTTCCCAGCAAGTTGCAGGTAATTTTTTTAAGTCAAAAGTGATTTGGGGGTACAAAGTGCCAAACAATTTATGTTTACATGGTGCAATGTGCCAATTTTGCAATTTAAGGGTGCAAAGTGCCAAAAGGGTGTAATTCAAGGGTGCAAAGTGCAAAAAACCCACGTGAAAATTATACTCTCAATTTGATTTACAGAGAGATTTACAAACAATTGCAGAGTTATTGATGGAGAGAATATAATCACGAAGAAGATCGGAGAGAAGGGTTTTGAGAGCGGTGATTGGGTGGTGGAATACGTCAGACGGCTGATGTGACGTTGACGTGGCGGAGGGACAGCTTTTTTTCTGGTCAAGTCTTTTCTCTCTCTCTTTTTCCTTTGAAAGGACAAACCCACATCATTTAATAATTAATATTAATATTATATTCTCGATAGGGATTAAGGATTAAATTCTAAGTCCATATTTAATATAAATTGGATTTTTTTTTTTATTATTATTAGAATCTTAATTATATTTTTATTTAAACTATTCACTTGTCAATCATACCATGGCATCCGATTTTCTATTAAAACATATCATTCGGTCTTTATTTTCACGCAATAGGAGAATATTTTTCTACACTTAGGACTTGTTTATTATATGAACACTATTGAAATATTGATTATCCTTTTTAAAAGTTTTATTCTTTTCTTTTTTATAATTAAAACATTTAGAAAGACAAAAAAGTAAAAGAAAAAAAAGAGCACAATAATGCAATCGAAAAATTACTATTCCTCTACGGCAGAGATCTGGCAGTAATTGTGGAAATCAGAATGGAAATTTTGATCTATGCCGATTTCAATCTGATTTTTTTTTACTATAATATTTTTCATTCCAATTATGAAAAGTCTAATTTTGATTTTTTTTTTTCCGATTTTTTTGGATTAGGATTGGTTTGTATATGAGATTTCAACTTTTGATCCGGTTTTAATTTTCGAAAATAATTATGAAAACTTAAAAAAAAAAATCTCAAAAACTACAATTGTAATATCAATATTATCATGCATTTCATATTTTAGCTGGATATAAATTGTAATTTTCTAAATTCCATCAATTTCGATTATAAAAAAAAATAAAAAATCAGATTTTGGAACGAGTTTTTTTTATTCCAATTTTCGAATTTCTGATTATTGATTTTTCCATATCTTTTTAAAAGTGATTGGAATTTGTTTTCACTTCGGAAAAAAAATCAGAACTTTTCCGAAAGTACTAATTACGACCCTATCCTTCCGATTTCCACCCCTATAATTGAGTGTAATTTGATGGATAGGCTTTTGTGGATCGTTATAATTAATGGTTGACAATCGTTTTTGTACGTCTCGGCTATTGGTATTACAATCGTCGGTCAATCGATCCCTTTTATATGGATTTTATTTTTATTTTTTATGCTTATTAAGTTGATATAAATACTTAGGAATTTTTTTAATTTTAATCCTTTATATTGTCATGCTTAGAAATAGTATTCGAAATGTTTTATATTTTAATTTACATTTAATAACTATGCAAAATTAGCATTTTCGGTCATATTTCGCCCAAACTTTAAATTTAACACATTGTTTAATTACTTCGCTAACAAACTTGCGGAATTTTATTTACATGGAAGCTTAAAAATTACAAATACAAAAGTTCAATCAAGGCTTAGTTATATGTTGAATTTATAATTTTTAAGATATAAGTAAAACCCGTCAAGTTTATTCGGTGCGTCATAAAATAAAAAATAAATAAAAAAATCATACAAAATATGACAAAATATACTATATTTTCAAAGTTATTAATGCATGTACAATTAAAACACAATTAGGATATTGAATCCCTAATTAATTAAATAGGCCAATATGGAGGACCAAAATTACAATTTTCCTAAAATAGCTATAAAGATATCAATATCGATACACTAGTTTTTTTTTTAAATATATACCTTTGTTTTTTTTTTTTAATTAAATATTAGTAATAATTAATAAATTTTGTAAGAAAATAATATTTTTTCCTTGAAAAAGATGATCCCCATAACAAAGCATGCATGCATGCCTCTGCAACTGCCTATTTTGAAAAGAGATAATAATATTAATAATGTTCCGTTTTTGCCCTTGGAAAGTCAAAAACACGCGGGAAAAAAAAGATATCTACGCAGATTTATACCTGGGAATTAAGCACGCGCGCCTCTTCAACTGCTATCTTATTGCACCAGTTTTCAATGAAATTAAACCAGTTTGATTTTTTTATTTACAAACCCTAATTAGTAATTATAAATACACTTCACTCACACTCTGGTTTTACACACACACGCAAACACACACATTACAGTGTTTAATATATTTACTAAAGCAAATTCAAATGGCTGGCGGCGGCTCTCTTGTTGAATCTGTGCCAAGCATGAGTCTCCTGACTATCTCCGACCACCATTACGAAGGCGGCGATGATGAACAAAAATCGATCGTCGTCGTAGCTTCATCATCAGCTCCGATTGTCTCGTCCTACAACGACAGAATCCGGCCGCTCCTCGATACCGTCGACCGTCTCCGCCACCTCAAAATCATGGAGGAAGGCATCCAGCTCCCCACCATCGTCGTCGTCGGCGACCAGTCCTCCGGCAAGTCCAGCGTGCTTGAGTCACTCGCCGGAATCAGCCTCCCTCGCGGCCAGGGTATCTGCACACGTGTCCCGCTCATCATGCGCCTTCAGAACCACCCTAACCCTAACCCGGAACTCTTCCTCGAGTTCGCCGGAAAAACAGTCCCCACCGACGAAGAACACATCTCAGACGCCATCAGCCTCGCCACCGAGGAGATCGCCGGAAACGGAAAAGGGATCTCCAGCAACCCTTTAACCCTAATCGTGAAAAAGAACGGTGTCCCAGATTTAACCATGGTTGATCTACCCGGAATCACTAGGGTTCCGGTTCACGGGCAGCCCGAAGATATATACGAACAAATCTCTAAAATAATAATGGAGTTTATCACACCGGAAGAGAGCATTATCCTAAATGTTTTGTCTGCAAGTGTTGATTTCACCACGTGTGAGTCCATAAGGATGTCACAAAAAGTGGATAAAACTGGGCAGAGAACACTCGCTGTCGTAACGAAAGCCGATAAATCCCCTGAAGGCCTGCTCGAAAAGGTTACTGCCGATGACGTCAGCATCGGCCTTGGTTACGTATGCGTGAGGAACCGTATCGGGGACGAGTCGTACGAGGAAGCGAGGGCGGAAGAGGCTAATCTTTTCGACACGCATTGCCTTCTGTCGAAGATCGATAAGTCCATGGTTGGGGTTCCTGTTCTTGCTGAAAGGTTGGTCAGAATTCAGGCAAATATTATTGTGAAATGTCTGCCCGAAATTGTTAGGAAGATCAATGAGAAGCTTGCGGGGAATATCGAAGAGTTGAATAAGTTGCCTAAGCATTTGACTTCTGTCGGTGAAGCGATGGCGTCGTTCATGCACGTTGTTGCTTCTGCTAAGGAAAATCTGAGAAAGATTCTCATTCAAGGAGAGTTTGATGAGTATCCTGATGCGAAAGAGATGCATGGTACTGCTAGGGTTGTTGAAATGCTCAACAAATTCTCTGCCGATCTGCAATCTGCAAAAGACAAGAACGCTTCCGAAAAGTTCTTACTCGACGAGATTACGGTTTTAGAGGAAGGTAAGTCGATTGGGCTGCCGAACTTTCTTCCGAAAATTGCGTTTCATACTCTCCTGCAAAAGAAGGTGAAAGCAATATCCGCCATACCGTTTGACTTTGTCGAGAAAATATGGGGTTTCGTCGAGAATGTGTTGATCTCCGTCTTGCTAAGGCATTCTGAAAACTACCCGCAGCTCGTGTCTTCCACGAAACGAGCCGCGCAGAATCTCATCGCGAAGATGAAGCAAGAATCGGTTGATTGGGTGAACGACATTGTCGAGATGGAGAAGGTCTCCGACTACACGTGCGACCCCACGTACACATCTTCTTGGAAGGAGCGAATGTCTTCGCAGGATCAATTATTGAAAGACATTGACAACTACCGCAAATTTGGTAATATTGATGTTAGTCATCTTCGTAATATGAAGGGCAGCGTGCCAGAGGCGTTCGATTTGGGAACAAGGGTGAATGCGTATTGGGACATCGTATTGAGGAGAATGGTCGATAACATGGCGCTGCATTTGCTTTTCAAGATTCGTAACCTGGTGAAAAACGACATGGAGTTGGAGATCGTGAACGAGATAATGGGGCCGCACGGTAACGGTCTGGAGAGGATGATGGACGAGTCGCCTTCCGTTGCTATAAAACGGAACAAGTTGAAGAAGAGTATCTCGTTGCTCAAGGAATCAAAGGATGTTGTTGCTAACATCATCGACAAGATTTCGGACAATTTCGATTATTAAGGATTTGGTAATGATCTGTGGATTTGTTGCTTAATTAGTATTTTGTTGTTGATTTTATTATGAATGTTGTACTTGATGTGCTGATGTCATCATATCTCATCTGAATGTTTTGCTTTAATGAAATGCTAAGTATTGTTTTCTGGTTTCTTTTTGGTGTTGGTTTATTCACGATTGAATTATATAATACTAATTACATTGTATATACCAATAGTATAATTAATTAATTAACTAATTAAATATTATTCAACCCTTAATTTTCAAAATTTAAAAAAATAATTGTGGACGTTGTTCTTTGTATGAATTTGACTTCCTAACAACTTTTAGCAAACTAATGTAATGGATTCACTTCTAAAATTTTGTATTTTGCCCATAAGATCATATTATTTGCATAAACTTCTACAAAATTTATGAAACTTGCTGCTGACAAGTCCTTCCGCTCGTAAAACGAAATGTCCGAAACCTTATTGCAATGAAGAAGAAACATTCAATTAAATGGGCGAAGGACGACACTCACTGATTACACGTACGTGTGACCGCAAGTACTACTCTGCTTCGTGGAATTAAGAAGCTAATGGCCGATCGGAATGAATTCTTGAAAGCCATTGACATATTTCGAAATGTCAACGATGTCGTTCATCCTCGTGGCCGGTTGAAGCCTTTGATCTGGGGATGAGGGTCCCGAGATTATCGAGAAATTGTTTCGACGAGGAATGGTCGATAACATGGCCTTGCACTTGCGCTTCGGCGTTCGTTATCTACTGAGACAAGATATTGAAACTTAATTTGATCACTTAATCAGAAAATTCAGATTAGTAACAAATTGATGCTCTTAGTATATTTCGTTTTTAGTATTTGACAAAATTACCCCCTTTGTGTCTTATCTCTCTCTTTATTACTTCACTAATGGTTGACAATTCAAAACAAAAAAAAAGTTTGTCGTATCTTGAAATTCTAAATTGACACTTCATATAACAAAAATAAAAATTTATAGCTAAAATAACACTTGAAAAGAAACGGAAGGTTTATTACTAACTCGAAAGTAGACAGAAGTTTGACATAATTGCCAATTTCCAACAAACATGCAAGTTTAGAACACAAACATAGTACTCATCAAAAGCAAAACACACACAAAAAAAAAAAAAAAAAAAAAATTGCTTAAAAAAGAAGGGACAAGACCATGAGATATGCATGCATGCATGCATGCATGGCGTAATTTTCTAGAGAGCAAGAGTTGCAATATTATCCATAATCTTTGCAACAACTTCCTTGGACTCCTTGAGCAGCTTAACACTATTATTCAACCTCTTCCGTTTATCGGCAACGACCGGCGACTCCTCCAACATCCTCTGCAACCCGTTCCCGTCGGCTCCGATGATCTCGTTAATTATCTGTATCTCCATTTCCTTGTTCACCAAGTTATGAATACTGAAAAGCAAATGCAGCCCCATGCAATCCGCCATTCTCCTCAGAACAATACTCCAGTAAGCCGTTAACCTCATCTTCAAATCGAACGCTTCCTGCACTTGAGCCACATTTCCCCTCAGATGCGCCACGTCCACATCTCCAAATCCGTCGATCCGCATTTCGGTCGGCTCCGAGTGGTGGTTGAGAATTTCCATGAACGCGTTTTGGTGGGCCATGAGGCTGTTCCATAGAGAGACGTACTCGGGGTGGCATGTGTAGTCGGTGAGCTTCTCCATCTCGACTAAATCACTAACCCAATCGACCGATTGCTTCTTCTTCAAGGCAACGAAGCTTTGGGCCGCCCTTCTTGTTGAGGAGAGGAGTTGTGGGTAGTTTTCGGAATGCTTCATTAAGACGGAAACGACTACGTTTTCTATGTAACCCCATGTTTTTTCGACAAACTCGAACGGCGTAATATAAATCCCTTTAACCTTTTTTTGGAGGAGAGTGAGAAAAGCGCCTCTAGGGAGAAAATTCGGGAGCCCAATTGCTTTAGTCTCCTCCAAAACCCTCATTTCGTCGATCAAGAAAGTGGTTTTCGATTCTTGTTCCCCGCTTTTCCGGTGCATCTCTTCGGAGTATTGATTCAGCATTTCGGATAACCTTGCGGTGCAATGCATCTCACTCTCGTCGGGGTACTCGTCGAACTCTCCACGCAAGAGAATCTTCCTCAAAGATTCCTTCGCCGAGCCAAGAATGTGCATGAAAGCCGTCATGGCTTCGGCAATGGAGGAAAGATTCTGCGGGAGCTTGTTCAAATCCTCGATATTCGAAGTGAGCTTATCATTGATTTTCCGAACAATGTCCGGCAAGCATTTCACTATTAGGGTCGCCTGAATTTGGACAAGCTTCTGCGCCAAGACAGGAATTCCGACCATGGATTTGCTTATCCGAGAGAGGAGGAAATGTGTGTTGAAAAGATTCGTCTCTTCGACACGCGCCTGCTCGTAGGACTCTTCTCCGATTCGGTTTCGGACGCAGACGTAGCCGAGGCCGATGCTGACGTCATCCGCAGTGACCTTCTCGAGGAGGCCTTCGGGGGATTTATCGGCTTTCGTTACGACAGCGAGTGTTCTCTGTCCGGTTCTGTCGACCTTCTGAGACATCCTTATCGACTCGCACGTGGTGAAATCGACACTTGCGGACAGAACATTTAGGATTATACTCTCTTCCGGTGTGATAAACTCCATGATTATTTTAGAGATTTGTTCGTAAATGTCCTCGGGCTGCCCCTGAACTGGAACCCTAGTGATTCCGGGCAGATCAACCATGGTTAAATCAGGGACGCCGTTCTTCTTCACGATCAGGGTCAGTGGGTGGTTGGAGATTCCCTTTCTGTTGCCGGCGATTTCGTCGGTGGCGGCGACGATCGCGTCGGCCACGTGGCACTCGTCGGTGGGGACGGTTTTGCCGTTGAACTCGAGGAAGAGTTCCGGGGTGGGGCTGTGGTGGTTCTGGAGGCGCATGATGAGCGGGACGCGGGTGCAGATGCCTTGGCCGCGGGGGAGGCTGATTCCGGCGAGGGATTCCAGTACGCTGGACTTGCCGGAGGATTGGTCGCCGACGACGACGATGGTTGGGAGCTGTATGCCTTCAGACGTGATTTTCAGGTGGCGGAGACGGTCGACGGCGTCGAGGAGTGGCCGGATTCGGTCGTTGTAGGAGGAGACGATCGGCGCGTGGATTGCGGCGCCGCCGCCTTCTCCGGGAAGTGTGGTGGCCAGAGCCAAACTCTGTTCAGTAGTGTCATCTCCGTTGGACCTTGTTTTGATTCCGGAAGCAACTCTTCGATTATTCTTACCACTGCCCATTTTCGCTTTGCTGTGTGTGTGTGTGTGTGAGAGAGAGAGAGGTAAGAGAGAGAAAGATTCTTGGTCGTGATGAGAGTTTCCGGTGAAAGTACTATTTATAATGCTTTGTGTACAACAGTTACGAACTTCTGTCTTCTCTTTGATTTTCCAAATTCCTGTATGTAAGAGATCAATTGTTTATTACTACTAACGTTAAATTAAAGTTGCATGCAATGATATTAATTGGCAAAGAGAGCCTCCCCAAATTCAGTTCATGATTAACAATATAATGTATTTAAATTTATAATTAATCATTAAGTAGAAACTATCATATGATATGCGTTACGTCTCGAGAGGAATATAAAAAGTTGATGATGTATCTATACTCAATTTATCTGATTTTTTTTTTTATTATTATTTTTAATTTAATTTTCGAGTGTTATTTCACAATAAATGTACTAAAATTTAAATAAAAAAATTGCACATTGGGTTTCGACAAGTTCTAACATCTTTACTTTGTATCCCAAAAAAAGTGTCCTAATATATAATTTTTGTTGTAGTGTCAAACGTGTTCGTGCCCTTACCGAACGAAGTTTAGTCAAATCGAACATGAATTCAAACTCGAGTCCAAGTTTGGTTCATTCTGGTAATAAACCGAGCTCAAATGAACTTCTAAAAATCATTTAATTTGCAGTTAACCAGAGGCAGATGATAATACATCAGCAAATTAGAACATTTCATTTATCAGAGCAATTTACCTGAATTAAACATGACGAGAAAAGAAGGTACAATTGAATAAAGCATGTAGTAAGAATGTACTAATACGAAAATTTTCTCGAGATAAAAAAAATGTGATTTCTGTACATGCTACAAATATCGAACCCCTGCTAGTCAGTAGAAATCAACTATAACCTTCAACGCAAACAAACAATAAGGAGAATCTAAGTTGTCATTGGTTGAATTCCACAAGATCAAGGGAATCGAACAAGTCTATCTACAGCTGTGTCCAGTGCATCGACATGCCTCCTCAGAATTTTTCTGATACTTCGTCAAGGAATCAGATGATAGTTATAGGGGGTCCATCTAAGAAAACACTTTTTAAATAAATAGAAATAAAGAACAATACTAAATGTTACTTAACATCTTTGCCTGAGGTTTCTCGATTCAAAAACTTAAAACACGAGAAATTTAGAATAAATTATGAGAGATTTCAAATCCCAATACTTTGATCAGACCCTCGATTCGAAACATAAGCAGCGTACGAGCTTATTTTTGCAATGATTTGCGCAAAAGAATATATAACAAAGGGGTAAAGATGTTTAGAAATATCCAACATTCCTACAAGAATATATAAAGGATACAGTTGTGTGGCAAGAGCATCCATCCCTTTCATTTCTTCGTTTAATCTGCAAAAAGAAGTTGCCAGTAAAATAACAGATAACGAAAACATATTAAGGAAGGAGGATAAATATGTCGAACGAATTAGAACTTCCCTGCTTCTATGCTTATCGTAATTTCAGGACGACAATTCTCGCTAAATAGTAAAGGCTGTACTATAGTGATTGAAAGTGTAAAAACGGAATGTTGAAGCAAAAGTATGATTCTTGAAAACTTTATTAATCAAGCACGATTTGTCACGATTATGTGCATAAAAATTCACGGGAAGAGTCGTCTTGTCCAAATACTAGAAAAAACAACGAACGAAACAAGATTCAAACCTCAGACAAGAATTTATGTATCGATTTCCTTTTGTCGATGCATCCAGCACTGCAACAGAATAGACAAAACATGTCACATATATATACAGTTCATCAGCTATTGATGCAAGATAACTTTAAAGGCAACATATTCAACGCCCAAATCTGCAAATAAGATCTTCAAACCCAGCAAAATTTATTGCGATAATTGGGGCTTTCTTACAGGACTATATCAGGTAATTTAAACTTAAATTTTACCGCATTCTTGAAGGCGACCGGCTGCATCGCTGAAGCAGCTCATGTGATCAACTGTAGAGCTTGTGGCCTAAAAAACACAGTATCTTAATTAGAATAGTTGAATCGCATATCCGAAAAGGAGATTAATTAAGAACAAAGATAAATCAAGTCCATTACATTTACACAGAAATACTATCTTCGACAATTGTACTTTCAATATTTCGACATTCTCAACGGACACAGTTCACAGTTATATGCAACATGATGTGATAAACGTAATCGACAATCAACAGAGAAATTGTGATAATTACACCATTGTGAGCTCATTCGTTTCAAAAATCAACCATATGCAATAGCCCTAATAAATATGCAGAAAATTAGCTGAGAAATAAATAGGGGCTGTCTAACTATTCCTTCATGTAATTCTAAGCTGCATCATACTTATAAATCCCTGATGCTGCTGCACATGATACTAGGGTTTTGGAAAAGTCCCAAAAAAACGAATTAAAAAAATATCATCCAAAATCATGTGAACAATTCATTCGGAGGAAAATCGAAGGTGAAACAATTGATAATTAACGACCTGGGAGAGAGAGAAGCGGAGAGAATTGAAGAGAGAGGAGAAACTCTCGGCGATCGCAGATGAATCTCTCTCCACCGCCTCCAGAGCTTTCATAATCTCCTTCCGATGACCAGACGGCTCCGGTTCGACGGACTCACTGCCGTTAACGGCGTCTGTTTCTTCCTTCCCTCCATCGCCCACCAGATGCCGTGTCAAGTTCTGATTGGACTCCACCTCCGAGCCGTTAATCGTGCCTTCGTTCGCCATTGATGAATGATGAGAGATTGAGACTGCGTGACGGAGCATAAAAAAGCGAGTTGGTAAAAACCGGATCGGTTTTACAATCGGGTCAGAAACATCAGTACGACACCGTTTAGATATTTATATATTTGACTACGCTTTTACAAAATTAAATAATATAAATTGGATATAAAGTTGTTGTAATTGTATGAAAATTCATAAGCATGTAGTTGTTGGCATATTAAAAAGAAATCCAAATAAATCATTGATTTATAAAACATTCTAAATTGGGTAGATTGTACAAAAACACATTATGTAATGCATAGGGTAATTAGATTTTGATACTGTGAAATATACTATCGTTTCAAAAGTGAAAAAATAATTAGTTTAATACATGACAATAATAATTATAATATAAATTAGGGGCAATTTGCTATAGGTCCTCCTATAGTATATTTTATGTCCATAAATCCAACTAATAATTTTTTTTTTATTAAATTTATTGTTCTTATTTGGTCAAAAATACCCCTAATAATATATGGAAAAGAAAAATCCAAAATAAAAGCCTATATTTATAAAGCTTTTTAATTCTGATTTTTATCCAAAAGATCCGTAATCAACTCTTCCGCAAAATCCCCAAAATCCCAAAATCACCGAAATAATCAATTCTCTCCCAAAAAACCACTGCAATCTACTAACGTTAAATTTCTCCCGGAATTCATTGTAAATCGGAGGCCCTAGCTACGAATTTAACCCATAAACCGTTTGTTGTTTGCGAACCCAAAAACCGTTTGTTGTTTGATAACCCAGAAATCGTTTTATTTTGCTTTGATTTTCGTTCGTTATTTGGTTCTAAAGAGGATTGTGTCTACGTTTTGATGTTCGGTTTTTCAATTACCTCATAACACCAACAACGAAGGACCTCAATAGCAAAAAAAATGGTGCAAAAGCGTAAAAGGCTTGGTAAGTAACTTTTTCGCATTTATTCCAGATATTTTGGAAGAAACAATGTTATAGGTTTTTTTTCTGTTTTTTTCGATGTTTTTGAGGTCTGCATGTTGAGTTCTTGTGTTGGAACATATTGTTTCTGATAATTGGGTCCGTAGATTATTGTCGTAAGTAACGTTTAGGAAGTATTGCTAGTTGTTCTGTAATTTGATTATATTCGTAATTACAGTTTGCACTTTGCATCTCTTGATTGTAATTGAAGTTGTTCATTGTTGTTCGCATATGGCAGTTTATGTTTGCATTTGATTTGCTTGTGTTATGCATTTTGTTTGCTATTAATTTGGTCTGAATTTTATCGTATCAAACATGGGGTGGACATTTTAGAAAAAAATCTCTTCCGTTTGTTGCTTGTAAAGCAAAAAGTACTTGTTTGCAACTTCAATTTGCACTTTACAAGTATTTGTAAGGCTAATTCTTGTTTGCACATGTCATGCTCTTGTGTTATGCATTGGTATGCTTTTTTTTTGTAATCCTCGTACTACGCGGGCATTTGAATTAAAAAAAATCAGTTTCTACATATTCGTAAGATGTACATGTTTACATGTTCTGTTTGCACTTTGCAGTTATTGTTTTGAAATTGCAGTTATTGTTTGAAGTTTGTAATGACATTTCTTGTTTGAAATTCAATTTTATGTTTAATTTGCAATTAATAAATTGTTGTTGAAGTTTGCAATTTATTGTATGTAATTGTTGTTCTAATTTTTTTTGCAATGTGGTTTCGAAAGTTGCATTTTACCGTTGCTTATTGGTACCACATTGCATTTCGCATCCTAAATTTACAAATAGATGTATACTTCTTTTTAAGTTAACTTTGTGTGTTGTATTGCTCATTCAACAATCACTTATATAGGAGGGAATCATGAAGTAAATGAGGCGCCATCCTCTTCGAAAAAGGAAAACTAAGATTGAATCAACTCATGACTGCATACCAGGCTACCAGCCATCGGATGATATTGCAAAAGCAGCGACAATACATAGAGAATTTGAAACAAAAATATTAATCAAATTCTTTTTTTGGTTAATTACACCATTACAATTTTCAATTTGTTGTTTTTAGATTGTTGTTTCACATCGTACAATGATTTTATAATTTATTTTTTAGTTATAAGTTGCAATCTGCAATTTTCTATTTTATGTTGCAAATTTATTTTGTTGTTCAATTTTTGTTTTGTTTTACTATTTGCTGAAGTAAAACCAGTTAAAAAATGAAATGTAATACAGATGAAATAAGAATTAAAATCCAAAATATATGGTTACAAGAAAGTTGGTGATTGAAGATTGCTAATAAGGTACTTACGGAAACAAAATTAAAGATTGTTTTTACAAGAAATGAAGAATACATGTTTAGAATAGTTGGAGACTTAAGAGAAAGAAAGACGTAAGTGTTTGTGTGTGAGAGAGAGAGAGGGGAATATATGGGGAGAGAGAAAGGAGGGTGACCGTGTGAGAGAGGAGAAAGAGAGAGAGGGGGAGTGATTTGTGGGATTTGTTCCCTCAATTTCTAAAATAATTATTTATATATAAATATTAACTGAGGGTATTTATGTCTATATACTAATAATTTATTTTAATTTCTATTAATTTTATTCATCTAGGGACCTATGCCTATATTCATCTAATATAATGGATCCCTACTTATATAAGTCCATATTAAGGGGTGTCTAGCAAATTTCCCCTATAAATTATTAGTGATATTGGTGATAACGTTAATATTTATACAAATTTAATAATAAAAATTCATTCCGAAAACGAAAAAAATATATAAACTTAATTGTCATAATATAATAATAATCATTAATGAATGAAGTAAAGAAGAATTGGAGAAAATAGGTTAGAAATAGGAGATAAAAAATAACAATAACAATTAATTAGAAACAAAGGTAGTGAATTATATCTGTGCTAGTCGAAATTTGTGTGAAAGTAATTAAAAGAAAAGAAAAAAAATATAGCTGCAAAATAGGAGATAAAAAGATTGCACTAACGTTTCTTAGATTGCACTACCGGTTCTTTCGTTTATGGTAGGATTTTATCAATATTGAAATGTAATGCTAGGTGATCCAATATCTAATGATAATTTTGTAATCAAGAATTTATAAAAATTTAAATAATAAATAAAAAGAAAATTGCACCAAAAAAAACAACATATTCTAAACAATATTAACGGCATCATGGGCATTGATTAACATCTACTAACAAGATGACAGAACCAAATGAAAATCATACACACAAAAAAAAACTGCCATTTCTCATATTTCATCTGTTACACTAACATATAGTATAACCAGATTACTCGAGTGCAGTCGGTTTGTACAACGAGGAACGATAAAATCGATCAATATCTAAAAGAAAACACTCGATTAATTTTTTTTTCCGGACACCTAAACTAGATACAGAACAAGAATTTCACGACTAGCTTTTACTCGCAAGAACTCCTACTTATAACAACCGGAAATTCTCTTCATACGTAAGTTTCCGAAGCAGTTTAAAAGCACCCAAGAAAACGGAGCTAATTTCCGGATCGGAATCAAAAGCTAGGCAAAACCCACGTAGGAAAGGCGCAAATGTCACATCGAACAATATAACGTTCGGTCTTCATATCCGACAAGCAAAACACACCGTTATCCAAACCATTAGTTCTCACACTGTGATCTGTAAAGTATATACAATTCGGCTTCACATCATCCAATTGAGAAGAAAACGCAACGGGCAAGGAAGAATGAGAACGCTTTACCCCGTTAGAACGCTTTACACCGTCCCGTTTGGAAAGATCGACCGAGAACGAAGAATTAGAACCCACAAACAACGCCCTGTTCCCGAGGTCGCGAATCTCCTTACGACGATCAGTACAACCATCCATCAAGTCGAATCCGTAAACTTTGAAGAGCACAGTTTCAACACTGTACGTTTGTCGATCCACGATTAGAATTTCCCCCAACGACTCCACCAAATAGTACGTTCCGTGCGGAGGTGAGGGATCGACATCGTCGCGCGCGGGCGGCATGCTGAAAACCTGGCGTAGTTGGACTGGATTTTTACCGTGGACGTCGCATTCCACCACCCTCGATTCAGAATCAACCGCGTACAACTTCCGTTTGTGATAGATGATATCGCAAAACGGAACCTCCGATGAATCCATCACGGTCCACGAGTCGTCCCCGGGCCTGCAGAAACCCAACTGATTCTTCTCTCCCCAAATCACCATAACCAACAGATCGGTCTTCACCGCGGGGCTATCGGATAAAACAATCTTGCTAATGGAAATCGGAGATTCGTCGGTTTCGGGAGGAAAAGTCTCCAAACCGGGGAGATAGATTCTAATCCGCCACACTGGATGAGTCAGATAGATATCTGCAGAGGAAAAACAGAGGATCCACCCCTTCGAAGACGGGTACATTGATCGATCGAGTGGGGGGAAATTCGCGATCTTGTAAGTCTTTTTCTCGAACAGGTCGACTAAATCGGCAACTCTCGTGTAATTTCTGTCGAGAATTTCTTTACTCTCTTCTTCCTTTATTCTCCCTCGAGAAACGAGCATGAGCCAAGGAAGCCGCCCGGTCCATTCCCGGTCGAAGTTTTCGAGTGTGGCGGCCGATCTGAATGAACGGCAAACCCCGCGGAAAGAGATGTAGTCGTGGATTGAAGTGCAGAGTTTCGCTATGGAGACCAAGATCTCCGGCAGGAATTCCGACAGATTTGAGATCGTATCCCGATTGGGGCTTCTCCCCGGTGAGGTCATCGTTCGAGATTCGACGGAACCGATGATCTTCATTGGAATTGATGATTAATCCCAATTATTGCGAGAAATTTGGAGTGAATTCAACGAAGAGGACGCCGGAGAAGACGCCGGAGAAGAAATCGAAAACCCTAATTTCGCGAGGATTTGAAAAATCGCAGAGGGAGGGAAGAGCAGGTGTGTAGTTGAGAGCGAGAGAGGATTTTACTTTTTGGGAAGTTTGCATGAATGTATTATATATATATATATATATATGATATATTATGATTTCCGCCCCTGAAATTTGGTTTTTTACAAAGAAAGCCCCTTCTTAATTGAACATTTACAATTACACCTCTCAAATTCGCTATATTTATTTAATATTTTGATTTTAAAAAATCTATATAATCCAGTCAGAAATTTAGAAATATTAAGAATGAAACTTCAATTAGACCAAATTCAAATAAAATTAGAGAGTAGTTCATTTAAAATTAGGTGCAATTTTGGTCCTAAGAGCTTTCAAATCCACGTGGATTTTCGATTACTAATTTTGACGATAAAATTTTACAGAAAATAATAAAATATAACTAAAACGACGACACAACGAAGATTGAGATTCAAAATTAGATATAAGAACACAATATTATAAACTACCAACTTAAGATCTTAGTGAACATGAACTCCCAACTCCAATAAGTATGCAAATTACGGGCAACTCTCTGAGATAAGATTAAATTACGAAAATGTATCATATTTGGGTAATTACAAACACCTCTTAATTATGTATTATTTTACGAAAAAACTCCTCATTCAGTAGGTAAATTTAACACTGTAAGAGTGGATGTATAAGACAATACATAGTTGAGATCAGGTTTTGTAATTACCCAAATATGAATTTTTTTTTCCGTAATTTAGTTTTATCTCAGAACTCAGAAGATTGACATAAATTATAGTAAAGCAGGGTAATCACATTTTAATATGCTCTTAATTTTTTCTCTTAATTTTTGAGTTTAGAAAAATGATAAAATCGAGATAATATCTATTTAGGGCAAATTACGGTTATCCCTGAGTTAAGATAAAAATTACATGAGAAGCCCCCTCTTGTTTGGATAATTACAGCCACCCCTCAATTATGTATTATCTTACGAAAAACCACTTACAGAGGAAAAAAATTTGGGAATGTTAATTCGGTAAAAACCCGAACCGAAATCTCGGTCGCCAACATTTCGTACCGTTACCAAACCGAATATACGATTTGGTTCGATAGATAACCGAATTACGTAAATTTTATTGAAAATATTTAAAAGAAAGGGTGAGTGTAATTACCCAAACAAAATGGATATTTTCGTAATTTGACCTCCGCCATATCTATTTATCTATCTATTTAGGGCATCTGTAGTGCCACTCCCAATTTATTATTTTTGTCAGAACTTTTAAATATTGGGAGTAATTGATGATTTTAGCTCCTCTAGTGCTTTTCTCCAGCCTCCCTAAATGTGCCATGTGGCAAGGGACTCCCAATTGAAGTGCCTACAGTTAGTCCATGGTTGGGGAGTGTATGTGGAGCCCTTTTGATTATTTTAATGTATTTTTGGAATGTGTGCCAACCAAATCTGACTTTAATTATTTATTTTTTCTTTTTCTTTTTTTCCATTATGATAAGTAATAATTAATTCTAATAAGTATTTAATTATTTTATAATTTTTAAAAATTACAAATTTAAATTTCATTGATTTTAATATTAATAGTAAAATAAATATTATATTTAAATTCATTAATATGGTAAAAAAAAAAACTTATATTTTCATTTTAATAATTCAATTTCACTATACTAATACAAGAAATATTTATTTTACAAATAAATTTAAATTTTGTAAATTCGTTAATTTTAATTTATTTGATTGTTCCACACATGCGTCTCTCATATTCATAACTTTTATTATAAGAAATTTAAAAATAAATTTTCATGAAATTTAATTTTACTAAATTCGATCACATTATAAAATATAATACGAACAATGTGAAAATAAAAGAACATTAAATCACAACTACAATTAGAAATACACATAAACAATAAATATTTAGACATCTTCTTCTCCGTAGATATTCCACAAATGGTTCATTAAATCAGATCTTAAATCTTCATTGGTTCGTCGATTGCGGATCCGACTAAGACGTGCTGAGATATAGGCTGCCAAAATCGATGGATCTCGTTCATATTGAAGGGGGCGGAAATTCTCTTCTGGAAGTGGTGCCCATGGTTCGAGGTCAGATCCACGTTCATCTTCTATAATCATATTATGGAGTATAATGCATGTTTTCATTATATTACATATATCCTCTTTTGACCAATATCGAACGGGTCCTTGCGTTATACCCCATTTAATTTGTAGAGCACCAAATGCACGCTCCACGTCTTTTCTAACTGATTCTTGTTTTGCCGCAAATAATTTTTCTTTCGCAGTGGTGGGATGAGCAATGGTTTGAATAAGAGTTGCATATTTGGGGTAAATACCATCAGATAATGTAAACAATGGGTATGTTCGTACCATTGAGAGAGCTCAACGTAGTGGAAACAATGCAGAAGATAATGTAAGTAAATAAAATTCATATATGTATTTATATATAATTTTCGTTCAACCATTAATATATTATGATTTTTGTTATAGATGATTGCATCAAAACAACTATACAATGACAAAGAAGAGCATCAATTCAAATATGACTCTTGTTGGATGATTTTGAAAGACACTTCCAAATGGTATAATTATACCATTGAGCAGAAGGGAAAGCCGAAAAAAACTTCCCAAAAAAAAAGGGTTGAAATTGATTTGGATGATGATGAAATTGAAGATTCATCAAATACCCAACCTCCATCATCTGATCAATCAGCCCCAGCTACGACTCCAACTTCAACCGGCCATGAAATTGATGATGGGGTATCTAATGATGGCGCACATGGACTACCACGTCATCATGGTCGCAAAACTGCAAAAAATGCTAGAAGAAAGAAAAATCTCGATTCCATCGATTTATTTGTAGAGGAGTTTTCTAATATGAGAAAAGAACAATCAAGTCGCTTTGAAGAGGAGGGCATTAGGAGAAATGCAATCGAACAACAGAAATTACAAGCTAAAATAGAAACAAAGAGAATGGAAATTGCAGCTAAACAAGAACATCAACAAAAACAACGCGAGCAAGAAATAATGTTGATGGATCCTCAATCGGCACCTACAGAGGAAGGTAAAGCTTGGATTATTGAACAACAAATAGAGATCTTAAGCCGTATTAGAAAAAATAAAAACTAATTTTATAAAGTCTTTTCCTTTAATCTATTTATGTCTAGAGTTGGAGGAATGTTCTAACAAGCTTGTTCAATTTAGTGCAATCTATTATGTATTTTTGTTAATTTTATTTCATTTATGTTTGTTGAATGTTTTGTATTATTTTATCAATATAAATATGGATACAAACCAAATAAAATAATACATATTACAACGTAATAAAAATGGTGACTAATATTTAATTAATGTAATCTAATACGAAATTAATTTAATTAAATACAAAGAATTAAATTTAATTACATTATTATATTTACTTCCTTAATATTTTATTATTATTTAAGATATTTGGATAAATTTTTAGGGAGTTTTAAATGTACCACTAGAGAACTTTTTTTTAGGGAGTGTTAAATGTGGGTCCTACTTTTAGGGAGATAGTAAAATGTGTAGGTGGCATGTGGACCCCACTATTTGGGGAGTCTTTTATTGGGGTTACACTACAGATGCCCTTATAGGCACACAAAATAAATATACAAACAAAGTTATAATGATGAAAGAAACAAGTAAATATAGTCACCTCCCCCATGCATGTACAAAACAGTTCAACTGCATTGACGACTTGTACATACAACCTTGCCACGTGGAGGTACAACCAAAAGCGAGCAAATAGTACAAGGCGGGAATACGATTCCAAATACATTGTGGGGCACACGATCACATTTTCCTTTTCCTTTTTCACGCAGAAAATAATTAAAAAATAAAAAAATAAAAGAAAATTCAAAAACTGGAGCTCGAAAAAAGATTTATCCGAAGAAATAGAAAAACTCTCAGTTTTTTGCATTTAAAACTTTACTTTCTATTTCAATCATCGTCTCCACCATCGCCATTTCCTCATTTACTTTCCCCGAGCTGCCTTTTTCTGTTTAATTTTATTTATTTTTCTTAATTCCTCCAAAAAACCCGGAAATTTTTATTTGGGGTTTTTTTTGGGAAAGAAGAATGGGGTTTTGAATTCGATCTGTAGCTGAAAGCGGAGCTTCCGATTCGTTTGGTCTGATTTCATCTGCATTTTGGAGAATCCTCAGGTTTGTGATTTTTCCCAGATTATGGGGATTTTTAGGGTTTTGTTTTTATTTTGAAAATTTGGGGGAATTCTTCAAAATTTAATCTTTTCACGATTCTCTATTTTTTTTTTCATTTTCATTGACTGGATGTCGAGATTTGCACAATGTAGGGTTTGTGCGTGTAGAAATCAAAATGCAAAGAATCGATTTTTTTTCCTCTTCCTAAAACCCATTTGATTCACAGATTCTAAAATCTCTAAGTTTTAGTGGGTGATTTCTTCTTTAATGTTGGTACATTGTGCTCTAGTTAACAGAGTCCTGGATTTTATTTTTTTTCAATTTTCGTATCGATTTTTTTTTACGTCGTTGTTCAATACCTGTATTATTTTGCTGCTCTAATGGAAATTTTAGATCTGCTTGTACCTAAAGATTATGTAGAGATGATTACAATATTTACGGCTATTACAGAAGGCCTGCTTGTATGACGGAATTAATATTCCAATAATTGAATTCAAAGCAGATAAAATGTAATGAAAAAAATGTTTGGTCGATTTAACTTTTTTCGAACCTGTGCATTATTGTTCTTGCTGTATTATATGAATTTTCTGCTAATGCAATCAATTGCTGACTGACAACTTGATCCGTTGTGGTTTCTACCTTTTAATTTCACTTTGTGCAGAATGCATCTGTTATAATTGTTTGATTAATATGCATTTCTTTGAATTGTGAATTTTCAGTGCCCTGTCCACCGTTTGGGCTTTGTGAGCACTTGCCCGATTATATGATGGATCCGCAAACAGAAGTTCGTCATGGTAATGAAAAAGAGGAGCTAGGTGGGTTAACCGAAGTTCGAAATGGTAATGTTTCTGGACGAATAGAAGCTTTTAATGGTCTTGCTGAAGGTAAAAGCTCTCTATTAAAATTTCCGTATGTATATATGTTTGCGAAAGTTTTTTTTTTTTTTTCGTAATGTTCAACCGGTCCATTCGCTATGGTGTGACGTTAAACCCTAAATTTCCTAAATTAGTTAGTTCCGGAAATGCTATTTATATACATGCTGAAACTTAATTTGATAGATTATTCAATAAAATCGCTGTAGTGTGAGAGTTTATTTTCTTTTATTCATTTCTATGATTTCGCAATCCGTAATCTAAGGCTCATTTGACCATGGTGTAGACTTATGTAATAGGTATTCCACTAGTTTACGATATATAGTGTTACGAAATTCGAAATCTGGTTTTTGGATTCTACGTGTGAGATCTCCCTAAGCTATTATCTGACTAATAATACAGGGAATCATTTCTCTGACGTCCTTCAATCGAAGCGTGGAAACTACGGAGATCTCCCTGCTTCCAAGATTTCAGAATTGATGAAATTGGGTAATCTAGAGGTAACTATCTGCAATCACCCACTAAAAGATAAAGGAACCAAAAAAAAAATCACTCGTTATTTATATTTTTCTGACACTTTACATGTTCTTATATTTTAAGCATTTTAACATGCAGAATGCCTCTACACACTCACTTTTCGGTGTGGTCAAGATGATTCTGGATGAAAGCATTGAGAGAAAGAATGAGGACATTCCTTTGGTATGTAGTAGTGACAGATCACTATAGATTATTATATCTTTTCAAGTTAGATGAAAATTTTTGGAACATACAATATTGATTGTTCGTTTTTGGAATTTTGCTGCTTCATTTTAGCGTGTCGCATCCGTGCTGAAATTAGTTGTGCAAGAAATCGAGCACCGGGTTTCAAAACAGTCAGACAATATGAGAAAGGTAAACACATTAGCAGCACTTGAATTGCGTACCGTTTTCTTTTTCTCAAAGGTGGCTTTTTTGTTGATTATGCATTTTGATGTTTACTACAGCAAAGCTCTCTGTACAAGTCTCGTGAAGACAGGTACCATTCGAAAATTAAAGCATTAGAAACCCTTGCAACTGGAACTAGTGAAGAAAATGAGGTACATGGTGGTGGTTTTGTGAGTGTGTATGTGTATGTGGATTTTCTTTTATTTTTGTTCTCACCACATTAAGTTTTAATTTTTGCAGGTTGTCATGAACCAACTTCAACAGATGAAGGTGAATAATATTAATTAGATACGGAAATATGTAATTTTGTATCAATTGTAAAGATGAACACTACTGAAAACAATATTTTGGCCTTCATTATTGTTTTTAATATTTTATAGCAATATTTTGGCCTTCATATTTGTCTTTAATATTTTATAGCAATATTTTGGCCTACTGAATATCAAGACTTATATATCAATGTTGTGAGTCTTTCAATGTTTTATGGTGGTGACAGATTGAGAAGACTAAGATTGAGGAGAAGAAAAAGCTCGAAGAGCAGGATTTAATTAATTTGAGGAACGAAAAGCACAGCTGCGAGAGTCAAATTTTGTCACTAAATGAAGAACTCACCCTAGCCAAGAAGTCACATGAAGATAATCTGTTTCAATTGGAAACCAAGGCTGAAGAAACTAAAGAAAATCTACAGAAGAAAATACGGGAACTCGAATGCCTTCTGACTGATTCAAGTAAGAGGGTTAAAGAGCTCGAGGACTTCTCAGAATCAAAATTCTTGCGATGGAAAAGAAAAGAACAGAGATACATGCACTGTATAGATTCCCAATTTGGATCACTACAGGTGCGTAAAAAATATAATTGTTTACATCTAAATATCGTGGTTCATTATTGATGTTGCTTTATGTTATTATATTGATCAGGAAATGAGGTTGGCATCTGAGTCCGTAAAACAAGAGGTCTCAAAGATGAAGAATATTTATGCAGCAGAATTCTATAATTTTGGTAGGATTAGTGTAGTGGAATTTTCTTTGCGTTTAAACTTTAGAAATCATAATTAAATTGTGTGTTTAACTTAGTTTTTTTTTATTCATCAATCAGGTTTAAATCTCAAAGGCTTGGTAGACGCTGCTCAAAGTTATCACAGTGTGCTTGAAGAAAACAGGAAACTGTATAATGAGGTTCAAGATTTGAAAGGTAAGGACATTACATTTACATATGACAAATCTTTTGGTGCAAATAAATTTACTCAATTATTCATGGTTCGTTTTGCTAGGAAATATAAGAGTTTATTGCCGTATAAGGCCATTCCTATCGGGACAAAATGGAAAACAAACAACCATAGAGTATATCGGTGAAAATGGTGAATTGGTTGTTATAAACCCTTCGAAACCAGGAAAAGATACTCATCGTCTTTTCAAGTTCAACAAGGTTTTTGATCCTGCAGTTACTCAAGGTTCTAATTTTACTCTCTCTCTCCATATTTGAGATTGTTTCTTTTAATCGTAATCAAAGATATATATTCATCTTTACATCTAGTCATATTTATATGCATTATTCAATCTGTTGTTTTTTTGACTACTTGTTGTCTGCAGAGGATGTGTTTCGGGACACGCAACCGTTAATCAGGTCTGTTCTTGACGGTTATAATGTTTGCATATTTGCTTATGGTCAAACCGGTTCAGGAAAAACTTACACAATGGTAAGATCATGTTTTTAAATTAGTTAAAAAAGTTTTTTTTCGCCCTTTTATGTTCATTATTCTCATGTTATTAAAATATCTTTTTCCAGACCGGACCAAATTCATCATCAGTTGTCGATTGGGGGGTCAACTATAGAGCTTTGAATGATCTTTTCAACATCTCTCAGAAAAGAAACAGCTCATTCGCTTATGAAATTAGCGTCCAAATGGTTGAAATTTACAACGAACAAGTGCGGGACTTACTCTGCAACGATAGCTATCAGAAGAGATATCCTTTCGATTTTTCTTTCTAACTTCATTTTTAACAAACACGTATTTATCAAAGTTATTTTACCTAGACGTGATTTAATTAGCTTTCGTTTTCTTTTTCAAAATTAAATTTCATTGTTTCCTTGACTTGCACACACTTGGGATATGGAGCACTTCTCAACCGAATGGGTTAGCTGTGCCTGATGCTAGTTTGCATCCAGTTAACTCAACCAGTGATGTGTTAGAGCTGATGAATGTTGGCCTAATGAATCGAGCTGTAGGGGCAACTGCTTTAAATGAAAGAAGTAGCCGGTCCCACAGGTTAGTGATATTTATTCTTTATTTTTTTTTCTATTTTCCGCTCTTATCAATGTTTTGTGCGAGCCTAATTTTGATAATACATCGTACGAGGTAGTATCCTTACTGTTCATGTTCGTGGGCTGGATTTGGAGACCAATGCAGTTTTACGTGGCTGCCTTCATTTGGTTGACTTGGCGGGAAGTGAAAGAGTTGACCGGTCCGAAGTGACAGGTGACAGATTGCGCGAAGCACAACACATAAATAAATCCCTGTCGGCTTTGGGAGACGTTATCTTTGCACTGGCACAAAAAAGTGCTCACGTGCCGTATAGAAATAGCAAGTTAACTCAAGTTCTTCAAAGCTCTTTAGGTAATTTGACCATCCTTGATTCGATAAGGCACTAGTTAATTATACTCTTGTTAACACTTTTTTTTCTCCTTTGACTTTTCTCGTAGGCGGTCAAGCAAAGACGCTTATGTTTGTACAATTGAATCCCGATGTAGAGTCGTACTCGGAGACTATAAGCACCCTGAAGTTTGCTGAGAGGGTTTCTGGCGTTGAATTGGGTGCCGCACGAAGTAATAAGGAAGGTCGGGGTGTTCGAGAACTTATGGAACAGGTTACGATTTTTCCTATTTTCACTTGTCAACATTTTAAATTTTATCCATTTTTTTTGAAATATTGTTTTCCCCCCACATAACGGGCTTAATTTTCTCCCTCGATTATTTCGGCTTTTGATACAATCTGCTAAATCTTGTGATAAGCTAAAGCTAATATAAAAGTTGTATCAATCCAACAGGTAGCTTCGTTAAAGGATGTTGTAGCAAAGAAAGACGAAGAAATCGGAAGGCTGCGTTTGCCGAAATCCAACGGAGCCAGCGAAAGACACGGCATGAGCTCTCCAGGGTACGGATCAGCCTCTCCGAGAAGACATTCAATCGGACCAAATAGACCGAGTCAAAGAGTTCCGGCGGGAAAAAGCCCTTCCGAAAAGGGCGCTTCCGATATGGACAATAACTCCGAGTACAGCGATAAGCATTCCGAAGCTGGTTCGCAGCAGTCAATGGATGACTTTAGGCACCACAAAGAATTCTTCCGACAATCGAGAATGGCGGCAGTTATGGGCGGTGTTGGTGGTGGTAGTGAAAATCTTAGAGAAGATATGTGTCTGAAGCTGGATATCGGAGATCGAGGTACAAGTCTTGATGATGACGTGGAGCTTTTAGGGTTTGGCGACCCCGATTCGGAAGAGAGGCTTAGTGATATTTCGGATGGAGTTCTCTCTATGGGAACGGAAACCGATGGCTCGATTAATAGTAT